TTTTTAGCTGGACACAGCAGCAGGAAGTATAAACAGGAGCCACCATTAGAATTAATCTTTTGCTTTTCCCTACATTTCAAAGCACAGGTTCTTCTTAATTAAACTGAGTAATTATTCTGATTTTAGCATTTTACTTGGCAGGATAAGTACCTCACTAATGACTTTCAGTTGTTGCCTGTAATTGCTCTTTAACATTCAGTTAGATTAATGTAGATTTAAACCCTAACTTAATGGGTTTTATATATGCATACTTACCAACATATTAGTTGTCCACTGGACACTGTCACTTCCACCCAAGGCCCACAGTTGAAATGCCCACCTTCTGGGCAGTCCCACTCCTAAATATTCAGAAACCATCCATTAAGGGCCAAAATCCCATTGGTTAATTCCCTTTTTATTTACTGTACATGTTTATTAACTCAAATTATCTAAAAAAGGTGTGATCCCAGAGCATAGCATCATTGGGACCGAGATATGGGACTGTCCTGGCAAATTCGGGACAGTTGGCATCAATGCATAAAATAAACAGCAGTTATGGGGGGCGTGTCCAGCCGAGATGGCTGCAGCTTTCTGAAGTTCCAATTCCTCTCCTCCCTAAAGCTTTTCCTCAGTAAAGACAAGGGTGACTAACCTTCACAAAACAGCGGCTCCAGGCACCAGGCTGCCTCCCTAATATGTTGAAGTGGCAGAACCTGCATACTGAGCCCCATGAACTGATTGCCTTCTTCCAACTCTCAGCAGAGTGGGACCAACAGAATGACAGCAGCAGCTCCACTCTGCCTTCACAACCGGCTACATCCTCAGACATAGACACCAGCTCAGACTCCTCTCTCTGCACGGTGATTGAATTTTCAGCACACCTGGACATTGGTGAGTCCTCTCCTCCTGATAGTACTTTCAACTAGAAGTCCTGTAAATACAAAGAAGACTATAAAGGGGGGTGATCTTACTAATGATGACCATGCAATATGCTGTACAGCCACCTTCTTTGAAGGACTTTCATGCTTTCTCCCAGCCAGTTTAAATCACAGATCTTAAAGAAATGCTGATCTCACTAAGGGATACTTTACATGCAGATACTGTACATCCAATATGATTACAAGCATTAAAGCCACAGTCCAAGACCTGAGCTCCAGGGTCTCCTATATTGAGTCTAAAGTAAACAATATATGCTCGGCACATAATAACTTAATTGATGTGCACTCTAACCATACCTCTGTGCTACAATGGATCAACTCCAAATTAGCCAATCTAAAGGATAGATCACAACTTAACGACATAAAATTCAGAGGTATATCTGAAACAGTTACCTTACCACTACTACTTGATTTCTTACACCAATTGCTCTCAGAACTGGTACCAGACGTGAAGGGTATTGAGAGGGCTCACTGCATTCCAAAACAAGACTATCTCCTGGATAAAATACTACTGGACACTTTTACCACATAAAGGAAATTGTGATGAGGGCAGCCAGACCTGCCTCTTTCTGTGAAATTCTCAGGTATATCCATATTTGCTGTCCTTTCTGCAGCCACGGTTCAACATAGGACAACATTCCTAACCATAACTAAAGCCCTTAAGAGTCACAAGACATTGTATAAGTGGGGATTTCCTTTGAAACTGTTTGTCACCCCACAGGGCACGACCGACACCATAGACTTTTTACAAGTGGGTTTGAAACTCCTCAAGGAATGGTAAATCGTTGTACCCGATGGCCCTACCAAAGCAAACCCATTGAAACTACCAATGGAATGGAACTGATTGGTTATTATTATCTTCTTTGAACTGAATCCACCACAATACTCGGCCTTTGATTAACATCATTTGGAGCCCATCTGTCTTGCCCGCTGTACCTCGAACATTGTAAACTACCTGTTATATACCCCTCCAACTAAAACAGCTAACAGCATTTTTTCCAAATGATTGGTTTTTTTTTATTTATTGTTCATTCTAACTTTGTTTCCTTTATAGGAAAGTATATAACTCCTATTCTACAATTCTTGCCTTGTCCTGCTTCTTTGAATGAAAATGCCAGGACTACCCTCACCCTTCTCCCGAACACACGGGACCATCCCTTGTTTTTGTGCTACTCATACCAAGATACCATTTCCTGTTACTTATGCCTAGCTACTGTCAACAACAAATCACTGAAGCACAAAACCTCTTCTTTTTAACCAATAACACAGTAGACACTGATTGATGCATGCTTTGGAACGCCCATAAGGCGTTTATGAGTGGTCTTTTTATTAAACTTGGTGCACATGCTAAAGTAACAGAATGCCAAACGTTTGACCACTTAAGGTAACGTATAAGGGATATTGAAAAGCCTAACAAACCACAACCCTCTCCCCTACTGACACCTGAACTCCGAAAGCATAGACAAGCCCTTTGCAACCTCTTACTATACCAATATGAACAAGTTAAACTCTTAAGCTAAAGCTAACTCATATGCCCTTAACTAAAAGGCTGGTGCATACTTGGTGAAACATATTAGAGCTACTAAAATTACCCATTTAATTGACTCTGAAATTAAGATAATGAACCCTAAACATATAGCCAGGGGCGGACTGACATCTCATGGGGCCCCCGGGCAATAGGGGATCATGGGGCCCCTGTGTCCTTGCCCACACACAAAAAATGCCTATAAAAAAGGTACCAGGGGCATTGCATGGGGCCCCCTACTGACCCCAGGCCCTCGGGCAGTGCCCGAGTGCTCGAATGGTCAGTCCGCCCCTGCATATAGCCGAAGCTTTTAACAAATATTAGGCCTCCCTATATGATGCTAAAAGTGACAATAACATTCCACAGCCCTCCGAGGAATTAATAAATCAATTCCTTTCCCCTTTATCTGTACCATCCTTGACTGCACATCAACTTGCTTCACTCTCCCATCCCTTCAACACTGAAGAAATCACTAAAGTAATAGACTTCCTTCCGTTGGTGAAAAACACCATGCATCAACAGATTCCTTAATGAATACTGTAAAAAATTTAGAGATATCCTAACACCACACTTAGTCAACCTGTACAATTTGGCCATGACTACTGGATGATTTCCTGCAGAAATGTTTCAAACTGTTATTATAAACATTCCAAAATCAAGTTTGCTGTGCAACTATAGGCCTATATCTTTAGAAAATTCAGATGTAAACATGTATGCAAAAGCACTAGCCTTGAGACTTATAGATATCCTGCCTACCTTAGTACACCAAGATCAAGTGGGTTTCTGTAAGGAATGTCAAGCCCCTGATGCCACAAGGAAAATGTTCACTATTCTAAGAATGCCGATGCTGTGTTTGGCGTTTGATGCCAAAAAGGCTTTTGTTTGAGTGCATTGGGGGATCCTCTAAGCAGCGCTACTCTAATTCAGGTTTACAGGGCCTATATTCTAACCCCTCAGTGCAAGTACATGATTTTGGTATGTTATCTCCTAGTTTTCTAATTTGGAAAGGCACCCAACAAGGATGTCTACTATCACCACTTATTTTTGCTATGGTCATAGAACCCCTGGCACACTTGATCAGAACCTCACTTGACATCACAGGAGTTCAGATTGGTTGTCTGCATAGTAAAATAGGGCACTTTGCTGATGACATGGTATACTGTAAGTAATTATGGAATGCTCTACTTCATTGCAAAAAATTCAAACTGTCCTTAGAAATTTTGGCTTAGAATCCTCTTACAAAGTCAATGCTTCCAATTCCCAAATTTTAGGCCTAAATATTTCCTCGGCCTTCAAAGCTTCAATGTATAACAAGTTTCCTTTTCTTTTGTCATCCCTCTCAATTAAATACCTCACAATTCAGATACCACACTTCAACGCCAAATTATATGATCTTAATTTTAAGCACTAAATGTGAACTCTCTATAACAGGAAAAATAGCTGCTTTTAAAATTATTACATTACCTAAAATCCTTTATTTGTTCCAAACTATACCGCTAGTTCTACCATCCAATTTGTTTACTAAAATGTGCTCTATACTACAGTTATACAGTATATTTGGAATGGAAAGAAATCAAGATGTACATTTCCTACTTTAAATAAACACAAATTCATGGACAGTTTATCTTTACCCAATTTACTGTATACCATTATTATTTGGCCACATTACTTGACCAATCACAATACTGGTGGACTCCCTGCTCTAAAAAACTCTGGTCTTACATGGAAGTCTATCTTTTACCATACACCTACACATACACTGCAATTTTTGCAGCTCTAATGTCTGACAATTTACCAAATTTTTCATATGCAGCAATCCAGACACAATTAAGGTCTTAAACATGTTACCAGCTTTGACAAATGCCTCTTCTGCCCTTAAACAGATCTCATTACCACAAGATTTACTGGCACTAATTATCCCTCATCTCAAGGTCAGATCTAGCTGGTCTGATATGGGAGTCCATTAAAAAATGTTATGGAGGGCAGAGGATAAGTGTTTAGCAGGACAGAGGATAAGGTCAGCAGTTTGCAGGACAGTGTACAGGGGGTAAGCATGGCAAAGGATGGGAGGTCAGCAGAAGAGTGTACAGGGGTCAGTAGGGCAGTGTACAGGGGTCATCATTGCTGAAGACATTGCTGGGGTCACTGCTGGCAGTGCAGAGCCTGGGCACAGGCAGCAGAGCTCCTCCTCCCCACACAGCACATAGCTGAAATTGGATTCCCTTACAAAGTCACATTCTGCAGGGTGTGTGGCTGGATACTGCAGCTACACTAGCATTCTGACCTGGGAAATCCACAGGTCAGAACTGCAACATAGCAGCCAACTACACACCATGAAGATCATGGCTGTGTAAGGGAATCCGATTCACAACCTCTGGGATAGAGAGGGTGCATGCCAGGTTGCCAACCATCAGCATCTTTGTGCAGACCTACTACAAGAGATAATTAGAGACTGCACACATACTACAGGAGATGATCAGAGACTGCAGACATGACAGATGAGATGGTCAGAGACTGCAGACCTACTACAGGAGACAATCAGACATACTACAGGAGATGGTCAGAGACTGCAAACATACTACAGGAGATGATCAGTGACTGCAGACATGATAGATGAGATGGTGGTCAGAGACTGCAGACCTACTACAGGAGACAATCAGACATACTACAGGAGATGGTCAGAGACTGCAAACATACTACAGGAGATTATCAGAGACTGCAGGAATAATAGAGGAGATGGTCAGAGACTGCAGACATGATACAGGAGATGGTCAGAGACTGCAGACATAGTACAGGAAATGGACAGAGACTACAGACCTGCTACAGGAGATGGTCAGAGACTGTAGACATACTACAGGAGATGGTCAGAGACTGCAAACATACTACAGGAGATGGTCAGAGACTGCAGAAATAATACAGGAGATGATCAGAGACTGAAGAAATAATACAGGAGATGGTCAGAGACTGCAAGCATGCTATAAGTGTGTCCTAGCAGTGACTGCTCACCGGTCTATGTGTGAACAGAGCCTTACAAAATATAACAAAGCTACAGAAAGCTGCAGCAGTTATATATCTTACAGACAGTCCATTGATCCAGCACAGTTAGGAGGGCAGTAAATGGTTAATAAGTCTGTGAAGCTGCCAGCCTAAATCCTGCAAAGGCAACATAAAAGGAAGCCATCAAATAAATCAGGGAGAGCTCACACAGAACTCTATAACAATCAGCTGAAAGTCATCCCCAGCAATGTGTGGCACACTCACATGTAATGCCACTGCAGTGTCTTCAGGAAGTCTAATGATCAGTGGTGTGCTCACCCTCAGGTGTGCAGTGCTAGTGTAAATAAATAAAAAAGTAGCCAAGTGGAACAAGAGCGAAGGGAGTCATTCCCTAATTAGGGTGATCATCGCCTAAGCCGCACACTAGACTGGTGAACACACTGATCATAGACTTCTTGAAGACGTTGCAGTCAGCATGTCAGTCTCACACACTGTTAGTGCTGATCTTCAACTGTCTATATAGAGCTACTGTAGAGTCCCATGTGATTTGTTTGCTATGAACGTTATTGTACCTTCTAGGGAGCCTGTACTTCTGGTGTTTTGTGTCCTCCCCCTCCTGCCCCCATCCAGCTCTACTCTAGCTGCCAGCATCTTCTCTTCTGAGTCAAATGCCGTGGGCTGGGGAAGGGGCAGGTTACAGTGCTGTGTGATTGGCTAAGGAGGTGGTGGGAGATGGAGCAACTCATCAGCAGTCTCTCCCTCCTACTCAGATGAGCAAGCTATTGTTCGACACACTGCTCATACGGAATTACAGCAAATATACAGACAGTTGGCAACATTGGAGGGGGGCAGCAACTGGCTTGTTGGAGGGTGTAAATGAAATCTGGTGGGGCGTAGCCCACTCCAGCAAGCCCCTAGATCCAGCCATGCCTCATCTTAAAATACACACATTTTGTACCTTGGACATGCAGTTGTTGCAGGACCTATTTCCTGATGCAACCTTGAAACCTTTTCAGAATTTTGAAGAATCTACCACATTCCAAATCAAGACTCAACCCAATACATACAAAATAACATACCTATTAGACAGAACCAATTACTACCGTCCCTCCAGATAGAAATATTGCTATTCCACGTTCATGAACCATCTATAATATACCCTAAGGAGAACTCTTACTTTTATAATAAACAGCATGATAAAACTATTTTTATGAAACTTCCCATTATACTAAAATGGGTAAAGCTTTCACTAACAGTAAATGGCAACAAGCTCTTAAATCCACATATCTCCTGACTTCAAATGTTGACCAGTGGGAAATAACTCATAGATGGTATCCTACCTCATATAAACTCTTCAAATTTCATTTGGCTAACCGCTCCCAATGCCGGAGACATTTTGGCTCTGTGGGATCTCTCATTCACATCCTATGGTATAGTAATCGAATAAGATCATATTGGAACTGAATATTTACACTGATTTCAGAATTTGCTCTATCACTACTAAAATTGTCTGTAGACCTAGCATTACTACATCTTAATATAAACGAAATTCCCTCTACTTCTAGAACCGTAGTTCATATTCTGATTGAGGCTAAATGCAATTTAATGTAAAAATGGAAATCAGCTACTATTCTGACACTATCTGAGGTTATTGATGATGTGAACCTTTATTGTACCTATGAGAGATTATTCACTATAAAAAATAATTCCTTACAGAAATATTGCCTTTCTTGGGATGTTTGGCTCAGTCACTCCTATTGTACCATCTAATGGGCCACTTTTTTCTTATCGGTACCCTTGTTACTAACTTTCAATCAACAGTACCTGACAATATCCGGTATTTGTCTGTTGTTTTGTTATAGCACAGGTCATTTTGATAACCTAAAATGCTTAGATACGTACCTACGCAAGGTGCAGGAAACTTTGTGTTCAACACCTATTAGTTTATCCATCTTGTTTTTCTGGACCTTTTTCTGGATAACACCATCTTTTTTACTCTAATTACTGCAATTGTTGTCTCTGGTGTTTGCTTGTATTGAAAACATTAACAAAGACCAAGTGAAACAAACAGCAGTTATATATTTATTTAGTCATAAAATGCTGTTTCCACTTTTTTCTTTTTTTGTGGCTCAGTGCTGCTTATCTTCTGCAGTTTTTCAGCCACTTCCCATCTACCTGCTTTTGCTCTTTTGTTGCACATTATTGTTCTGGAACAGCTTCTGACAGTAGCAAAGATGGGCCATGTCTGTGCATTGTGTATTGACCAGGGGCGGACTGACCATTTGGAAACTTGGGCACTGCCTGAGGCCCTGGGGTCAGTAGGGGGCCCCATGAGATGCCCCTGGTACCTTTTTCATAGGCTTTTTTGAGTCGGGGCAAGGACACAGGGGCCCCATGATCCCCTATTGCCCAGGGGCCTCATGAGTTGTCAGTCCGCCCCTGGTATTGACCCATCGATTTGTAGCGTCCACCAATGGTGCCTGTGACAGAAATGCAGTACATCAAATGGAAGACAGTTATCAGCCTATAGAGCCTGAGCAAGGTTCTCAAAGGAAGGGGAACTAAGGATTCTTTAATGAAAGCTGCATATTAAAAAAAAATACTTTTAAAAATCATATTCATACATTAAAGGATGAGTTCACCTTTCGAGACATGTTGCATGTTACACCCATATTCAGGGTGTAACATATTACAAACGGACCAGCCCCCGCACTTCCCCTGATCCCCTTTCTGACAGCTAGCGGGGTATCTTCTCCTTCCTCTAGCTGTCACAATTTTTAAAAACAGCAGCCTTGAGGTGCTCTGCCCACTTGGCCGCGACACTCATTCACAGTGTTCTGTGAATGAGAACTCTACAAGTTCTGACAGCCTTTGCGGCTGTCGGCTTGTAGTTCTCAATGAACTACCATGGAGCTGTGAAGTGCATTGGTCGTTCATCGAGCCTTCCTGTCAGTAAGTATTTGCTTGCCCATACAGGATGCAGATACACTGACAGGTCAGAGGCAGGCCTGCATGGCACCAGCAATCTGCTGATCACTGGTGCAATGAAACAAAAATAATAAATGCAATTTTTTTTACCTGCAAAAAAAAATGTGCCTTTATTAGTTTTTTTGTTTAAAAAGTGAACCTATCCTTTAAAGCGTATGTGAGATTAACTAATTGGGTTTAGATCTACTTTCATTGACAGGCTCATAGAAAGCTATTTTAAACAATAAAAGCAAACTATTTTCCTATACTATTCTTTTTTTGAAACTTTATAACCATGTTATACAGTTTTCATGATTGGTACTGTTGCAAGGTACATTAAAAAGTTCACTTTAAATAACATTATAATTTGCCTGTCATTTTGATTTGCTTTACTTTATGCAGTCACCTGAATCATCTAATGATCCTGGAGACTGCAGTGTTGCTTTATATCCTTAACATAAGAGGCATGGCAAGGTCAATTACAATTTATAGCAATACAATCCATTTTGACTATATAAAGATTATATATTAGAACTGTATAGTTCACCTGAGGAAAATTACTTAGAACTTTCTCTGATAATTGTAACTATTTTAGCATTTATGAATGTGTACTAGCATGCCTTTAATTTTTTGTGTAAATGTCATTGTCTGTTGAATATTATAATGTGATCCCTTTAATTTACTGCAATATATAAAAGGTTGATGCTTTATAAATAAAGGGTAATAATAATTATATGCAATCAATTAAGCTCCAATTTCAATAGGCTCATATAGTTACAAAGGACATACTGCCACCTATTGTCAAAACTGTATACTTTTCAATTGCTTCACCCAGAAACATACCAAAGGAACAATAAATGGGAAGATCATTTTAAAGACTGCAGAATCAACGTAAAATTAAATGAATAATAATTACAGCATTTTTTTTAGAAGTCACATCAGTGAAAACTCATGTCTAGGATTTTTGTACAACTTGTATAAGATCTATAGAGCCTTTATAAATCAACACTGCTTTTATTCCTACATCAAACTTTTCAATCAGCATAATGCTGGTTTTATATACGATTTAGCCACTCTTATCTAACATCAGGGGAGGCAGATCTTGGCAGATCTGACGATACATGCAGAGATCACGCAGTTCAGAACCAGTTTAAGTTGGAGAGTTGGTAAAACTTTGACTACTAATATATACAGTTATTATATGAGACGGCTTTTCTATCTTGCCTGTTTAATATCCAAACACATACTGATCACCTGCAGTGGTTGTTTTCATTGCACACTTCCAGTTATCAGCAGATAACCTTAAGTCGTCATGCACACTGGATGTTTTTACAGCGGCTGTTTTTGGCTTTTGGCAATTTTTTCTACAGCCCAGCATGTTATCCTATGTGTCCATGCACACATAGAATGTAGTGTTTTTTGGCAGGGGCGTTTTTTGGCTGGAAAAAAAACCCAGAACTAGTGGGTTTCTAGAGGAGCTTTTAGCTGTAAAAATGCTCTAATGCTGAAAAACGCAGCAAAACGTGGTAAAACGCGGCAAATTGGCTTTTTTGGGTGTTTTTTGAGAAAAAAAAATTTTTTTTTTGGTCCAAAAAAATGCAAAAACGCTGAAAAACGTAAGTTTTTAACTTGACTTTACACAGCTAACATTACCAGCGTTATTAAAATGCCCTAGCCTTAGGCTCCATGTACACTAGCCTACCCTGACCACTGGCCACGGGAAAATGCAAATTGCGGCTAAATGAGGCAATCGCGGTACTGCAATTTTGCCGTGGTTTTGCCGCATTTTCCTGTGGTCGGCAGTCAAAACGTTCTTATCCGGAATGTGATTCTTCTGAGTTCAGGAGAGGGAGGTTTAACCTCACCTAAATGCGTCAGCTCCTAATCTCTGCTAAAAGCTTATGTATACATGGACACATAGTCTTTTATGGAGTTGAGTTTAGGAGCTTTGGCAA